AACACTGCCAGGGATGGGGCAGCCATAGCTTCTCTGGGCACCCTGTGCCAGCGCCTCAGCACCCTCACAGGGAAGAGCTTCTGCCTGAGAGCTCAGCTCAGTCTCCCCTCTGGCAGGTTCAAGCCATTCCCCTTGGCCTCTCCCTACAGGCCCTTGTCCCAAGCCCCTCTCCAGCTTTCCTGCAGCCCCTTTAGGCACTGGAGCTGCTCTCAGGTCTCCCCTTCAGGAGCCTTCTCTTCTCCAGGCTGCCCCAGCCCAGCTCTCCCAGCCTGGCTCCAGAGCAGAGCAAGAACAGCAAGCATTTAACATGGAAACAAGGAGGCCTCTGGAAACCAGCAGCATTCCCAGCCTCAGACCCAAGGCCTCCTCTCCAAAACCTGATCCCAGCTTCCCCACGCTCCAAGGACCTGATGCCATCAACCACGATCACCGGAGTGGGGAAGGACAGCAGAGTCATCCATGCAGGACCTCCACAAGGCATTTCCCAAGCCAGGGAATCACCTCTCTCAATTACCAGGGGGCCTGCAGCCCCCCACGCGACCTCCCCTTGGTGACACCCCCAAGGTCGATGGCTGCACACCCCCAGCGGGGTTTGATGGAATGGGATCCCCGAGGCCCCATCCCTACAACGCTCGCCCCTCAAAACCAGCCCTGTTCACACAGGAGCCACGAGCCCGAGCCCAACCGGCCCCTCAATGCAAGGGGACCAGGGGGAGCACATCTGGAGCACAAGACACGAAGGTTCCCCCCCATGAGACAAAGAGAACGGTGCCGGGAAGGGAGGAGAGCAGCAGGACCCGGGGCCCAGGCCTGCCCCACGAGGCTGGGCTCAGGCAGGGGAGGTTCTAAGCCAAGGCAGGAAGCACTTTGCAGTTCACCTCTCCCCACCCACGTGTGATGAAAGCCCGGCCATCAGCACGGGCGCTGGAGGAGCTCCAGCACCCAGGAAGCCAACCGCCCGCCCGGCCCCGGGAGGAGCTGTTACCCAACGCCCCTGTTTATTTCCCAGCCTCGTCCCATCGCTTTCGCAACACAAAGCCACGTGCAGAGGGCGAAACGCTGGCCCCGACCCTTTCCCCCTCCGTTGGCTATTGCTTTCAGGCTGAGGATAGGAGAAACAACAAGGAAAACCCACCCCACGTGTAACCCAGGCGCCCCTAAATGCATCCTAATGGAGCATCCCAAGTGAGGAACTGCTGTTCCCAAGCACTAAACCCAACGTGCATCACGCTGCTCGCTCAGGTGGGTACCAAAGGGCAACACACACACATACACATACACCCCCCCACTCCCAGCAGCCACAGAGGCTCCTGCCTACCTCTTTGGTCAGGTTGCCATTGACAGGGGCAGCCACCGCTCCCAGATCTTCCAGTTCCTCCCCAAAGCCTTGCTCAGCTCCGCTCTCCCTCACCCCGGCGTCGGGGCTGCTCCCATCCTGGAGGCCGCTGCCGTTCTCTAGGGCGATGCCGGCGCTGGGCTGAGCACCAGCCACGGAGCTCTCGGCGTCTCTGTGCACCAACCAGGCACTGACTTCGGTGGTGGGCACCTGAAACCTGTCCAGGGCCCTCACCTGGTTGAGCAGCCTGCGGGCGGTGAAGTAATAGTCCAGGTCTACGCTCTTTGGGTGGATGCCATAACCGTCCAAGGTGTTCCTCAGGTTGTGAAACTGGGTCTGGGTGTAAGCGGAGCTCTGGCCAAGGATGATCTCCCGGAGCGGGGGGAGCTGCGAGGTCAGGTAGGTGTCCACGTCCACGCGCACGCCGATCAGGCTGAGCAGGATGGTGAACTGGATGAGGCCTTCGGTGAAGTATTTCTTCAGAGAAAGCATTTCTGGAGGCCGAGGGGGAGAAAGGAAGGAGAGGAAGGTTTGGGAATGCACGGAAAGGGCACCGAAAGCACGGCGGTGCTGGCTGGCTGCTCCACACACAACAGGTTGGGTGGCTTGGCTTTCGCCCTGCCCCGCTTTCACACCGACCAAGCAAAGCAGCGGCTTCGGTGCTCAGGATGGGAGCTTCAAGCACAGTCAAGGCTTTGGGTTCAGCACTTGGGGCTTCCACTGAGGGCTCCAAAGCTCGAGCAGCACCAAACTCGGCCTCCCCCCCCCCCGCCCCAGTTCTCCTCCAGGTACACGAGGACCCGGTCACTTACTGCCCAAACCCTCCACATCCAGCGGCTCCCCCCCTGCTCCAGGCCGGGGGCTGCTCCCTCCTCCGCCTGCTCCTTTGTCCCTTCTCCTCCCCGCCGCTCCTTGAAGGCGCCGGTTACGAGCCAAAGGTCCCGCTCATGGAAGCTCCGAGCCCTGCTCCGCTCCCGGCTGCGGTTTCATCAGCAGCTGAAACGTAACCGGAGAGCGCCCCGGTAACGCACCGCGGCGGAGGCGGCTCCCTCCCTCCCTCGGCGCCCGGACCCCGGCTCACAGCGGGGGCCCCGCCGCTCTCCCCATTGTCCGCGCTTCCCCTCCCCGCGCTATTCTTAGCCCCTCGCGTCAGCTCCCCCCCCCCCTCCCCTCCCGAGGCCTCCGGCCCCGCTCCGCCACCACCGGCACCAAAACATCCCCGCCCCGGGGGCAGGGCCGGGCCCGGTGCTGCCGAGCGGGGAGCGGGGGGGGGGGAAGGGGGGGGGCAGGCGCCGCCTCCCTCATAAACCCCCCTCACCCCGCGGCCCCTTTAAGACCCCCCCGGCGCCTCCTCGTGACCCGCCCCCCACCCCCACCCCGCCGCTCCCCCCCCATCCTCCGCTCCCCCCCCCTCCGTTACCCGCTCGGCGCCGGCCGCCACCGCCCTCCCGATCCCGATCCCGATCCCGATCCCGGTCCCGGTCCCGGCCCCGCCGCCGGCCCCGCTCCCGCTCCCCGCCCTGGCCAACCACCGCCCCCTCCCGCCTCGCGCGGCGCCGCCGCCAATCGGCGCCTGCGAAGGGGAGGGCGGGAGAAAGCGGCGGACCAATGAAAGGCGGGGCAGAGGCGTTGCTCCCGCCCCCGCCGCCCCGCGGGCAGGCGGGCTGAGCTGCCAATTGGCGCAACGGGCCAATCGGTGAAAAGAACAGAGACAACGCGACCCGGCCCTGAGTGACAGGGCTCCTCGTCCAATAGAACGCGAAGTCTCCGCAGAGCGGCAGCAACAGCAGCCAATGAGACGACGCGCAGGACCCTGCCGCTTGAGCGGCAGCGGAAAGCACCAATCCCCGCGAGGCAACGGCCCCGCCCCTTCGCCCCGCAGCTGTTGCCATGGCACCCGGCGCCCCAGGCCCTCAGCGAAGGGCGAGGCCCGCAGCCGCCATGGCGGAGCCGCCCCCCCCCCCCCCCCCGACACCGGCTCCGGGGCCCCCGGGCCCGCTCGGCCGCCGGAAGCACTGAGTCCAGGCCGGCCCCGGGGCGCCGCCGGGCCCCGCAGTGACTCAGAGGCGGCGCTGGAGCGCGGCCAGGGCAGCGCCCGTGCGTGCTCCCCCCCCCTCCGCCCGTCGCTGGTCCCAAGGGCTCAGAGGCGGCTCCGGTTGGCGGCGCCCTGCGCCCGGAGCTGCCGGGAACGGGTTCATTCCATCCCCGGCAAGGGGCTCGGTGCCCCGCGGGGTATCCATGGGGCTGCCCTTTGGACTCGTGCCCCACCGCAGGAACCCACGGGCGGGTTTGGCTTTGGGCAGGTGAACGAGGCCCCGGCTTTCAGTGCCCTGTGAGGCTGTAACTGCCCAGCGGAGGGGAGGGATGGAGCTCAGCCCAACCGCACCGGGACCCAGGGCCTGCCCCATGCAAGCTGGACACAAGGCGCTTGGATCCGCAGGGAGAGCGGCGGCAGCGGAGGTGGCAGAACCATGGAACCATGGAGGAGACCTTCAAACGCACCCAGTCTGAGCATTCCCAGCACTGCCTCGGCCACCGCTGACCCATGGCACTGAGGGACAGTGACTGCAGGCCTGCCCTGGGCAGCCTGTTCCAATGCCTGAGCACCCTCTAGGGAAGGAATTGTTCCTCAGCTCCATCTAAACCTGCCCTGGAAGTTAAAGGTGTTGCGGGAGGGGAGCCGTGGTGATCCCAATGGGAGCTGTTAAATAAGCACCGCGCAGCTCAACCCCATCGCCTCTGAGCAGCTTATTTCTACCTTTCCCTATGGATCGGTGTGGCCCAAATCGATACCAGCACCCACAGGGCAGAGCTGGCAGGGAAGGCAGGTAGGAGGTGAGGGCAGCCAAGCAGCACCACCCGGGCCTGCTATTCCTGCCCAACCCAGACACCCTCTTCCCTGCCCCAGCAACAAACAGGATGCCAGAGACAATAGTTCATCCTAAAGAGAACCCATGGAAAAGGAGCGTGGGCTCCAGCACGCAGCAGGGTGAGGGTTCCCACCCAAGGCTGCATGCCCAACGTGGCAATGCCACCGGAGCCCCTTCATGCCAGCAGCAGGGATGCTCCGGAGCATCCACCAGCAGGAAAGGCACCGGAGCCTGGAAGCGCCCACATCCACATGGAGCTTGCTTTGTCTCCCTGCCCTCCTGGAAAACAACCCGGGGCGCGGCCACATCACCCGCAGCCGGCCCTGGATCCCAACACGGGGAGGAATGAGGAATGTGGGGGTGCTGCCAGCCCCGGTGCCCAACCTCCCCCCAGCAACCCGAGCCCCTCGGGGGTTATTTTTAGTGTGTGTCCCCCCCCCGGGGACCGTTTGGCAGCGGCCCCAGCTCGGGCAGGCACCAGCCCTGTGGGTGCCCGGTGCTGAGCAGAGGGGGGGGTGCGTGGAGCCCCTTCCCCATGGGAGAACTTAGCCCCCCCCACCCCCCGGGGTGAGGTTTGGCTTTTGGGGGGGGGGAGGTCCTGTTCTCATCCCACCCCATTGGCCCCCACCCGGTGTTGGTTCCAAAGGAGGGGGCTGGAGATCAACACACACACCCCCCCCCCTCCGGAGACCCCCGTTTCCCTCCGGTACCGCGGGGAGGGGGGGACCGGGGCGGAGCGGGCCGGGGGGGGGGGGGCGGGAACGGGAGCTGGGGGGGTGGACAAAGGCGACGGGGACATGGAGCCTGCGGGGCCGGTACGGCCGGGACTGGGATCGGGATCGGGACCGCGCAGCCTTCAATGGGAACTTCGTGCGGCCTCGGCGGGATAGGGAGGAACGGGGGGGAAACGGGAAGGAAAACGTGGGAGGGGGAGAAAAGAGGAAAAACATGGAGGGGGAACGGGAGCGGGGGAAAGCGGGGTCGGGACAGAGGGGGAGGACCACGGGGGAAAACGGAGGGAGAGGGGAGGAATGGGAAGAGGGAAAATGCGGAGAGAGAATGGGAAGGAATGGGGGGAACCGGGCGGGGGGAAGGAGCGGGGCGGGCCAAGGGAGCAGCGGGGTCCCCAATACCCGGAGCCGGGGGTGGCCGGGACTGAGCCCCCCCGGCCCCCAGGAGCCCTCCCTGTACACGGTGAAGGCTCTGCTCGTCCTGGACAGCCTCGGGCAGCGCCTCCTGGCCAAGGTGAAGCCCGGACACCCCCCCCACACCCCCTGCCTCAGTTTCCCCCCATTCACCCGGCTCAGCACCAACCCCTGCCGGGCTGCGGGGGTCCTGGATGCGACCTTGGGGGTCCTGATGGCAACCTGGGGGTCCCGGCACATGGCTGAGCCCCTGCCCACCCGCAGTACTACGACAGCACGTTCCCCACGGCCAAGGAGCAGTTGGCCTTCGAGAGGAGCATCTTCAGGCAGAGCCAGCGGGCGGGCGGTGAGCAGGGGACGGGGGGGGGACACCCGGCTGCAAAGGGGAGGGCAGCAGCATCCCCGGGGGGGCTCTGACGCTGCTCTGTGTGCAGGTGAAGTCGCGAGTCTGCAGGGACTCACCGTCGTGTACAGGAGCAGCGGAGACCTCTGCTTCTACGTGGTGGGCGGCGGACAGGAGAATGAGGTGGGAACCACGGACCCCCATGGCCCCAGTGACACCCAGGGCACCCCCATGGCCCCAGTGACACCCAGGGACCCCCATGGCCTCCCTGACACCCAGGGCATCCCCATGGCCTCAGTGACACACAGGGCACCCCCATGGCCTCAGTGAAACCCAGGGCACCCCCATGGCCCCAGTGAAACCCAGGGCACCCCCATGGCCCCAGTGACACCCAGGGCATCCTCATGGCCTCAGTGACACACAGGGCACCCCCATGGGCTCCATGAAACCCAGGGCACCCCCATGGCCCCAGTGACATACAGGGCACCCCTATGGCCTCCCTAACACACAGGGCACCCCCATGGCCCCAGTGACACCCCGCTTCTCCCGCAGCTGATGCTGTTGTCCGTGCTCACCTGCCTCCTCGATGCTCTCAGCCACCTCCTGCAGTGAGTCCCTGGAGCCACTCGGCTCCAAACGCATGGGGAAAGTGAGGCAGGGCATCCCGGGATGAGGGGGTCCGGCTGCCAGCGCCTCACATGGGATCACCGGGAGCGGCTGCTCCAGCCTCCCACCCGCTCGCCCGCAGGAAGGAGGTGGAGAAGCGCCGGCTGCTGGCTAACATGGAGGGGACGTTCCTGGTGGTGGAGAGATCGTGGACAGGGGGTGAGCTCCTGCTGGGGATGGGTGCAGGCGCAGGGGGTCCCTTGGGTGCTGGGATGGTGCCAAGGGGGAGCTGGGCACCCCTCTTTGCCCCCAGCGCTGCAGCTCTTCCTCCAGCCCAGGGAGGGGAACTGAGGCACGGGGTGGTGGAGCCCCGTGGAGCCCAGCCGGGAATGGGGGATCCCGGTGGGATCGGCACCGCTCTGCTCCACAGGGTGATCCTGGAGAGTGACCCACAGCAAGTGATCCAGCGCCTGAGCCTGCGGGTGAGGGCACCCATCCCGCTCCATGGCCTTCCTCTTTCCTGCCTCCTTCCTGCACCCTCCTCACCCTCTTTCCCCCCCAAGGTTCCCAGAGCCAGCACCCTACGGCTTCGTCCTCTTTGACTACCTGTCAGGCAGCTCGGAGCAGAAGGGCTCAGGGAACAGCCACAAATAAGCAGCACTGAGGAGGTCAAACCCTTCCCTGTCCCCAGGGGATAGGCAGGGATTGGGGTCAGGGTCCCGATGGGTGTCCAGAGGATGCTTTTCACATCAGGGCACCCCATGGGTCCCTTTGCCACAGCCAAAGCTGTTGATCCCCTTCCCTCCTCCAGGTTGGTGCCTGAGCAGAGCGTGCCCCAGGTAGGTGCTAATGGGGGGTTGCCCAGCTTCACCCCTTAGCAAGGAGATGGGGTGCACCCTAGCACCCATAATTGCTTGGCATGAGGTGTCCCCCCCCATTCCCAGCCAAGGGAACCCATGCATCTGGCTGGGAATGGCACCCCGTGGTCAGCTTGACCCCATCCCCATCCCCAGGGTCTCGATCCTGCAGCTCCTCAAGGAGAACACGGCGCCATCCCTATGGACGTGACCGCTCCCCTTGGAGCGGCTCTTTGGAACGGTGGGATCCCAGCGTCGGGCAGCAGGACGCAGCATCCCCCATCCGACTCTGGCCACATCCAGGCCTCCCGTCTGCCTCCAGCATTGAGAACACCAAGGGAAAAATGAGCCCCTGATGGAAGGGGGCGATTCCCCCCCGCTCCCAGCCACAAATAAAGCTTTCCTCCGCGGTTCCACGTCCTCCCTCCGTCAGCCCTGTGGGGCGGTGGGTCCGGGGGTGGCCCAGCAAGGCCGGGTGCTGGGGGGTCGTTTGCTCTTTGTGTTTCCTTTGGGGGCAGAAGTGACATTTTCGGGTTTTCCGGGGAAATATGCTCTTTGCAGCTTCATCCTTTGAAACCGCTGCAGATCAATGGGGGAAAGGAGGAAGGGAAAAGGGAAAGGAAGGGAAAAGGGATGGGAAGGGAAAAGGGAAGGGAAGGGAAGGGTAAAGGAAAGGGAAGGGAAAAGGGAAGGGAAGGGAAAAGGGAAGGGAAGGGAAGGGAAGGGAAAGGAAGGGAAGGGAAAAGGAAAGGGAAGGGAAGGGAAGGGAAGGGAAAGGAAGGGAAGGGAAAAGGAAAGGGAAGGGAAAAGGGAAGGGAAGGGAAAAGGGATGGGAAGGAAAGGGAAGGGAAGGGAAAAGGGAAGAGAAGGGAAGGGAAGGGAAAAGGGAAGGGAAGGGAAAAGGGATGGGAAGGGAAAAGGGAAGGGAAGGGAAAAGGAAAGGGAAGGGAAAAGGGATGGGAAGGGAAAAGGGAAGGGAAAAGGAAAGGGAAGGGAAAAGGGATGGGAAGGGAAAAGGGAAGGGAAAAGGGAAGGGAAAAGGGAAGGGAAAAGGGATGGGAAGGGAAAAGGAAAGGGAAGGGAAAAGGGAAGGGAAGGGAAAAGGGAAGGGAAAAGGATGGGAAGGGAAAAGGGATGGGAAGGGAAAGGAAAGGGAAGGGAAAAGGGAAGGGAAGGGAAAAGGGAAGGGAAAAGGGATGGGAAGGAAAAAGGGAAGGGAAGGGAAAAGGGAAGGGAAAAGGGATGGGAAGGGAAAAGGAAAGGATGGGAAGGGAAAAGGGATGGGAAGGGAAAAGGGAAGGGAAGGGAAAAGGAAAGGGAAGGGAAAAGGGAAGTGAAGGGAAGGGAAGGGAAGGAAAAAGGGATGGGAAGGAAAGGGAAAAGGGAAGAGAAGGGAAGGGAAGGGAAAAGGGAAGGGAAGGGAAAAGGGGTGGGAAGGGAAAAGGGATGGGAAGGGAAAAGGGATGGGAAGGGAAAAGGAAAGGAAGGGAAAAGGGATGGGAAGGGAAAAGGAAAGGGAAGGGAAAGGGAAGGGAAGGGAAGGGAAAAGGGAAGGGAAAAGGAAAGAGGAAGGGAAAGGGATGGAAGGGAAAAGAAGGGAAGGAAGAAAGGGATGGGAAGGGAAAAGGGAAGGGAAAAGGGAAGGGAAAAGGGAAGGGAAAAGGGAAGGGAAAAGGGAAGGGGAAAGGGGTGGGAAGGGAAAAGGGAAGGGAAAAGGGAAGGGAAGGGAAAAGGGAAGGGAAGGGTAAAGGGATGGGAAGCGTCCCTATCCTGACTCTCACCGCCGACTCTTGCTCGACGCTCCCTTGCAAGGCGGTGGCTTCATTTGCATATCTCCGCCCCGCGCTGGGTAAACTCCTTATATGGGGCATGACCACGCCCTTCCCCGTCTTAGCCCCGCCCCTAGCGGGACTGCGCATCCCTTATCCTGCAGCGCCACCTGCGGGCGGGACTGGGGAGCGAGGGAGCCCTCGACAGGACCCTCCCCATCACACCCCACCCCCTTGTGACCCCCCAAACCCCAGGGACCCCCAACCGGCCCTGGGGGACGCCCCAGTTCTGTCACCCCCCTCCATCACAGGGACGCCTCTCCCTTGGGGACACCCCCCCATACCCCAGCCCCTCCTGCGGTCACCCCAAACCACGTGGACCCCAAAGCGCCCTTTGTCTCCGCACCCCAAAGCACGAGTGACACCTCAAAAGCTTCCCCACGGCCACCCCCTGCTCCCATGGGGGAGTCACTCGGAAGGCCCAGATCGCTGCTTGGGTCACGCTGGGTACCAGTCAGTGGGTGCTGAGTAATTGTATTGAGCGTCACTTGTGTTTATTGCTTTCGATTCCCCTTTTAGTTTCATATTCCCCTTATCATGAGCGGTGGTAGCAGTGGCTTTGTATCGTACTTTAGTTATTGGACTGTTCTTATCTCAGCCCATGGGACTCACATCCTTCCCTTCTCCCCATCCCTTTAGGAGCGGTGCTGAGCCAAACACAGCACCCCAAGGTGCCAGTGCTGGGGCTGCCCCATCTCCATCGCCCCAGGGCTGGACCATGAAGACAACGCTTCTCATCCTGAGCCTCCGGGCACTGCAGCACCTTCAGGTCAGCGCACCCCGGCCCCCCCTGTGCTGTCCCCGGGTGCAGGACATCTCCCCTCTGGCCACCACCGTGTCCAGCCCCAGGCGCTGCAGCTTCTCCACCAGGTTCAAGCTGAAGATGCTGCTCCGGGGCCGGGGTCCCTCCTGCCCCCCGGCCGTGGGGAAGGGCCGGGGATGAGCACGGGGGAGCCCTGGCACCGAGGGGAGGATGCCCCGGCCCAGGAGGAGCCTGACGAGTCCCACGGGGGTGCTGGTGGTGCTGGGGTAGCCAGAAGAGAGCTCTGGGCAGGGGCTGCCGCGGTTCAGCCCCTCAAAGGGCCCACAAGAAGGCACGACCGCGTTATACAGACTGGAGGGGAAGAGAGAGGAGAAGAGGGGGTCAGTGGCTGGGGGATGCTGCTGCAGGTATTGAGACAGAGCAGGGCTCCCCTTTCCTCCATGCTCATTCCCCTCATGAACCTCGAGCTGGGGGTGACCCCAACCCTTGCACCATTGCCCAAGCACCCCAAAGCTCAAGGCACGGTGCTGGGGCTACAGCCTTGGTATCCACACACGCACGCACATTCCCTGGCAGCCAGGAGAGAATGGGCCGGGGCTGCTGCTCCACAAGTGGTTCCCAACCATGCAAGGTCGTGTCCAGTGCCCTCCAGCTCACACCGGCCCCCAGCGAGCCCCACAGGGGCTCATTAGCACTAAAACTAATTAACTAAAGCTCATTAAGGAAGGGGAACGGTCCTAGTGGATGGATGCACGAGTGCCAAGAGAAGGGAAGCCGCGTCCATTGCAGGGAAAGCGACTCCAGCCCCAAGGGTGCTCTTCCCATCAAAGGGCTGCAGCGCAGGGGCCCGGGGGGGGGGCTGCACAGCCCCAGGCACAAGCAGCCAGAGGCGGGAGCATCCCAAGCACCGAGCATCGCTCTGTGAGGGGCTCCCAGCACAGAGCAATGAGGCAGAGGTGAGGAGCAGAGCGTTGGAAGGGCGGGGGGGTTACAGCGGTGCAGGCAGAGCAGGCGGTGGGGGGGGCCCACGCTTTACCTGGGTGTCACCGTGGTGAGCGCGGTGGTGGGGTGGAGGATGTGGCAGGTGGTGATGGTGAAGGTGGACGGGGTCTGGGGGAGGTTGTTAACAGAGAGGAACACTGGAAGGGACAGGAGACACGGGGTTAACGGGAACGGGGGGGCACGACACAGCAGGGGCGGGATGGGAGGAGCAAAGCTGAGGGTAAGGGCTCCAGCTCCGAGGACAAGCGGGGACCGGAGCTGATGCCTCTCCCGGCCGAGGGCTCAGCCCACGGGGGCGGCCGCAGGCAGAGCATCCCCGCGGGGCCGGGCTGGCGCAGGGGGGGTGCGAGGGGCAGGACCGGGAGCATCCCTGGGGGGGTCACGTCCCGTCCGCAGCCGCTCACCCCCGGGGCGCTCCTTGGCTTTGGCGGGGGTTGAGGTAGGGAGCAGCTGGAAGGAGCCGGCGTCCACGTCGTCCTCCTCCAGGTCGTCGAGGCTGTAAACGTGCTCCTGGTCGATGTCCAAGTGCCGGAAGTCTTTGGTGAGCACCCCGGGACGGGGCACCAGGATCCCGCCCAGGTTGGGCCCGCGCCAGCTGCTGCCAGTGGTGCAGCGTCACCGAGCCTGGGGCGGGGGGGACACAGAGCTGAGCCATGGGGACCCTCAGGGCACATCCAGCCCCGCAGCGCGACCCCGCATCCCTCACCTTCCAGGGGCTTCACGATCTGCAGCTTGTCGGGCAGGTAGGAGAGGGAGCCGAGGGAGAAGCCGGAGCCGGCGGTGAGCTCCGAGCTCGCAGAGCCGGTGGGTGCCGGTGGAGCCGATGCTGTCGTTGGGGCTGAGGAAGCCGCTGGAGCTGTCCCCGTCCCGCAGCCAGAGCTTGCGCTCCCGCTCCGCCTCCAGGGAGGAGCGCTCGTCCTCGCGGCTCTGCCGCTGCACCGAGAGCCGCAGCACCGCGGCCTCCAGGTCCTGCCGGCCCGGCGCTGCCCGCGGCTCCGCTCCGGGCCCCTCGCCCCTGCCGGGGGCACAGCGTTAGGGAGCGCATGGCCATGGACCCACGCTGCACCCCCCCAGCGCTCTGCCGGCCCCAGGCTTGTGGCATCAAAGCTCCATCAGCAGCACCCAGCCCGAGTGTCGTGTGTCCCCCCCCGGCACTCACCGGGCACCCTCCGAGCCGGTGCGGGGGGTGCTGCTCCCCATGGAAGGGGCAGCAGAGCACGGCTTGGAGCCCTGTGTGTTCGGGGGGATTCGGAGCAAGACTTGGCTTTGGCCGCCTGGTTCACTGCTTTCACCGTCTCAAAGATGCGCCGACAGCTCCTGCAGGCAGGAAGAGCAGGGGTGGATCCTTGAGCCAAGCCCCACAGGGATCCCCCCCCCCCCAAGGGCCATGAGCCACCGATGCACTCACTTGTAGTCCGAGGAGGAGCTGTCTGCGCCCTTCCTCATCATCCCCTTGATCTCAGCTGCCAGCGAGTCCTGGACACCCGGGGACCAGGGTGAGAGGGGAGAGCAGAGCCCCCCCCGTGCCCCCAGCCCCGGGTACCGCGCTCAGCTCACCACGGGCAGCAGGCTGGCTGTGCTGTAGCGGCTGACGGTGCTGTTGGGCAGGCTGCGGCTCCGCAGGCTCTTCACCTCCTCCTGGGCCTCCTGCAGCATCCCCCGCACTCCGTGTACTTCTCCTGCAAGTCCCGCAGCTGCGGGCACCGGCACCGCTCAGACACGGCCCCGGTGGTGCCCGGGCAGGACCCAGGAACCCCCCCCCCGGTCCAGGGGCTCACCTCCATCCGGAGCTGCTGCTGCACCCTCCTTCGCCGCAGCCAAGTGCTGCTGGAGCTCCTCCACCTCGGCGCCGTACTGCGGGCAGGAGCGGGGGCTCAGGGACCTGCGCCCTGTGCGTGTCCCCCCCACCCCGCCGCCATGGCACGGGTACCCCGGCGCTCACCGCACGGCACTTGCGCTGCAGGTCCACGACCTGCACCAGGAGCTGGCTGATCTCCTCCTGCTGCCGCGCCGTGTCCTCGGCCCTGCGGGCCAGCTCCTCCGAGAGCTGGGCGACCTGCTGGCTGGCTTCGGCTGCGGGGGGCCGGGGGCTCCATCACCGCCAGGGCCACCCCTTCCCCAGCCCATGCAGCGGTGCTGGGCAGTGCCTGCAGCCCCCTCCCAACCCGAGCCCCCCAAAGCCCACGTACAGAACTGCTCCACGCAGTCGATCATCAGCTGCTGCTCCTGCTCCTCGTAGCGACAGGTCTCGGTTGTGATGTTGTTGGCCTGGGGGAGAGGGCCAGAGGGTCTGAGCACGATGGGCAGGACCCGCAGGGAGTGGGGCAGGGGTGGGCACAGCAAAAGGTGCCCCCCAACCTCCATGCGAAGCTTCTGGTTCTCCTCCTCCAGGCACTTGAGTTTCTGCTGCAGGGTCTCGTACTGGAAGTACTGCTGCAGGGACAGCGAGGGCTCCGGCCGCTGCAACCTGGGGGCAGCAGGGAGGGCGCTGAGCACCGCAGAGCGGGCAGGATGCGGCTGCCACTGCCCCCAGAAGGCATCTGCAGGGACCCAGCTCTGTGGGGCTGGACCCACGGCTGCTGTAGGAGGGGAAAGAGCAGCAGCCCCGGTGCTACCCCAGGGATGGTGACGGCTCCAGGCCCAATGCCCCAGGGTCAGCCCTGGGATAGGGACCCGCACTCACGGCGCAGAGGAGCAGGAGATGGGCTCGCTCTCCTCTGTGGTAGTGGTGTAGAAGTGGAGCAGATCGTCCCGCATGGAAACCTCATGGCGGAGCTGCGCGATCTGCGACGGGAAAGGGGCATCAGGGCACGGCCATAGGGACTGCACCCCCCCAGGACCCCGGGGGCCGCTACCTCCTCCTTGGCCAGCTCCAGCTGCTCCTCCAGGAGCTCATTGCGCTCGGTCAGGCTCCGGTTCTGCTTCAGCAGGGACTGCCCGATGCGCGCCGCCAGCTCCAGGTCCCGCTCCTTCTGCAAAGGGCAGGTCCGGCTCAGCCCCAGCCCGGCCCCTGCTCTGCCCCCTTGTCCCCAGCCTGCATGGGGGGGGTCCCATGGCCGTACCTCATCCAGCAGGTTGGTGACAGCATCGATGTCGTGGTAGGTCTTGGTGATCCTGGCCACCCGCTCAGCGCACAGCACTGGGGGAGATGGGCGAAGGGTGACCCCAGCCGCTCAGCACTGTCCCCCCGTGTCACCGCTTCCCATCAGTGACCCCCAGGGGTGCCCATGGGGGAAACGGGAGGTCGCTGCGGCAGGTGGCACGAAGCAGCTCCACCAAAAAGGAGCTTTTATCTGCTTGGCAGCACCAGCCGTGATGCAGAGGGCAGAGATGCACAGGGATGCTCGCAGCCAGGTCAGCACCACGGGAAACGGGGTGCTACCACCTCACCCCCACCCCTGCTGCCTCTTGGGATGGCAAAGAAGGATGCTGACACCACCACCCCCCCCGCTGCTCCCATAGCGCCAGCCCCACCGCAGGGCACACAGATGGGAAGGAGGGATGGGAAGAGGCAGGCAGCAGAGATGGGATCGGAGCCGACACCTCCAGCAAGGAGCTCCGGTACAAACAGCAGCGGGTGGCACCACGCCGAGACGGGCCCGGAGGCAGCGTCCCCAGCTCCCTCCTCACCAAGAGCCAGCCCTGCCCTGGGTGCCTCAGTTTCCCCTGACCTCAGCCCGCAGTCGGGCAGACAAAGCGGGTTAACGGGAGGCTCAGCCGCACAAATCCCATTACCCCGCCCCAGCTGGGGGGGGTGTGCAGTGATGTGTGCGTTGTCACAGCAGTGCTCCCACCCCACAACCCCCATCCTCCGGTCCCCACTGCCCCGCGGCGCTGGTCCCCTGCACCCCAGTGGGCACGGACCCCAGCGGGCACATCCATGGGGAGAGGGGACAACCCCAGCTTCATCCCCCTCCCGCACCCCAAGAGCAGCTGCTCCCTGCAGGGTCCCCAAGTGCACCTCGTCAGGCCCCGAGCCGTTAATTGGAAGTAATTAGAGCATGAGCATCGTTACGGTTTGAGCGAGCGGCGGGCCCGGGCAGACACAGGGGGCTGAGCGCTGCAAGCACGTAAACACCGCCCCAGCGCCGGCCTCATCCAGCGGGGTGCGGGGCGATGCGGGGACCCCCACCCCATGGGCACACAGCGACCTCCATCCCGTGGGCACACAGGGATCCCCATCCCATGGGCACACAGCGACCGCCATCCCATGGGCACACAGGGATCCCCACCCCATGGGCACACAGGGATCCCCATCCCATGGGCACACAGCGACCTCCATCCCTTGGGCACACAGGGATCCCCATCCCATGGGCACACAGAGACCTCCATCCCATGGGCACGCAGGGATCCCCACCCCATGGGCACACAGAGACCTCCATCCCTTGGGCACACACGGACCTGGCCGGGCCCCTATCCCCTACCCAGCGCTGCAGGAGCTCAGAGCCCCGCTCCGGGTCTCAGCGCTGCGAGCGGGGACCGAGCACCCCCCAGCAGGGACCCCGCTCCGCTGCCCCCCGGCAGGGCCGGCCCGGGCCGCCCTCACCTTCCTCCAGCTCCCGGGCGATGGGGTCGGTGCCGCCGCCCCGCTCCGCGCTCCCGTTGCGCTCATCGTAGGCAGCGGGGCTGCTCCAGATCTCCATCGCGCTGCGCCCAACCGAGCCCCCCCGCGCAGCGCAGCGCTGCGCCGCGCAGCTCGCCCCTATTTATGGCATCGTCCGGGCTGCGCGCACCTGCCCGGGCGCCTCCCACCCACCGCGATCGTGACCGAGAGTGGGGCAGGGGGCGGAGCTGGAGGGGCCGGGGGGGGGGGGTCTGGGGCTGCCCTTTCCTGCCCGATCCCTTTGGATCGGGTCACAGAGGCTGCTGCTCCCCGGGGTACCCTGGGGACCCATCAGGACAATCCCAGGGGTGCCGGTGCCGCCGGGTGATGTGTTCCACCTCCCAGCCCCTACCCCATGGATGCGGGGCGGGGGGGGGGGGTCTGGGCACAGGGATCCCCATGGATGTGGCCGTGGTGGGTTTGCTGGTCCCTTTGCAGGGCTGACCCAATGGGGTCATGCAGCTTCTGCCCCTTAGGCGTGAGGGGAGGTTTTGGGTCTCTCATCCAGGGCTGGGGTCCCCGGGTACCACAGCGCAGCTTTTCCCTGCCCAGGCCTGGGTGCTTCACCATCACCCAACCCGCTCAGCACAGAGCCTGCCCGGTGCCCAGGGCAGTGCTGGGCCCTGCTGGGTCCCTGAGCTGGGAAAGGGTTTTTCCATCCATCAGCACCCCCCTACCCCGAGCAGGGGCTGGCACGAGCCTGGCCCCGTGCCCCACACTGCAGCCCCCGTTGCAGCCCCACAGCCACGACCAGCGCGGAAGCAGGAGCTGAATAAATCATGGGCTGAATGATGGAGGAGCAGCCCGGCACGTACGCAGGCCTCAAGGGCGGGAGGGCGGCGGCGAGGGCCCCACAGCCCCACGGCCCCACGGCTCAGCGTGATGCTGGTAATGCCAACATACGCACGGCCTGCCCCAGTGCCAGTCCTCATTAGCACCAAACTCAGTGATGGGTCGATGAGGCTGGGGCTGGAGCTGCCCCTCCTCATCCCATGATGCCTTTTCCTGCCTCCTGGACTCCCACCCACCCGCTGCCCCAAAACTCGTCCTGCCATAACCCTGCTGCAGCTGGGGCCAGAGCCGGGCACCCTCAGCCCCAGCATCAGCCCCTCACACCAGGGTCTCTCCCAGTGAGGGCAGGGACCCAGCAGCAACCCAGGGCACCCAGCCAGGGACCCCAAGGACACAGCAGGGTCTCCTGGCCAGGCAGGAGCTGCTTCTTCCTAATCCCCAGCGCCAGGTCCCTCGTGTCTGTGCACAAGCCAGATTACAGGGGGCTATTTCTGACGGCAGCTTAAAGGTTTGGGTAAGGGGATGAGGCAGAGCCAGCCCCCACCACAGCGGTGCTGGAGCCAGGGAGAAACGTGACCCTCGGCCCATGGCTGCACCCACATCCTGCTCCTGCCCCATGGCACCTAAATGGGCTTTGGGGCTCAATCCCCCACTGGGTTGGGGGGTGCTGGTGTCGGGGGTTGGGGGCTGCACCCGGTGGCACAGGGAGGGGAGCAGATGGATGGGGAAAGCTGGAGCACGACGGGGGGTTTATCCCCAGCTTGTTGCAGGCAGGGGCCTCAGCCCCATCTGTCTCCCACTGCCCCACATCCAGCCCCTCGCTCTAATCTTGTCCCCGCCGCACGTAGGCCGGAGGCAGAAGAGAAGCGGAGATCATCCATCAGTGCCCCACAGCCAACAGCAACCATGGGGGGCATCACCCCTGCCCCACATGGGGACTGTGGGTGCCCCCCCCAACCCCGGGGCTTCTCATCCCCTTCAGCGGCTCGCAGCAGCACTGGGGGCACCGGTGACCCCTCTGCCACCCGTGTCCCCCCCATGGCACAACGAGGGGGGTGCGGGGCCATGCAGGGGGTCCTGGGGTACCCCGGAGCCTCTCCCCGAGCATCCGGCTTGGCTCAGCAGAAGCCGCTGCCGGAATTAGAGCGGGATGTTCCGGGTGAGGAAATCCAGCTCCGCAATCCCGTTATCCCGTTGCTGTTATCCCGTTGTTGTTATCCCGTTGTTATCCCGTTGCTGTTATCCCGTTAGCGGCGATTAGCGCCGGTGCCGCCCTGACCCCGCACTCACGGAAGTACCGCAGCGTCTCCTCCATCTGCCGGGGCGTGAGCGGGGCCGCGGGCCCCGGGGGCCGGGGGGGGCACGGAGCCAGTCCTCGTGGTCGTAGCCGAAGACGGTGTCGGCCCGCAGCGTGTAACGGGGCAGCGGCTCCCGCAGGAGGCTGCTGAGCTCCACCTCGGGGACATCGCCGCTGCACGGCTCTGGGGGCACCGGGCGAGGGCTCAGCAGTGGGGGGCACCGGGAGCTCCCCAGAGACACTCGTGAAGGGACCGGGGGTTGGGGGACCCCCCATAGGGTGGCAAACAGGGGATCCCCCCCCAGGTCCTAACCTTAACCCCTCTCGCCTCCCCGTTTCCCCCTTTCTGCGGGCAGGGTCCTGCTGCCATCTCCTGGCCACGCTCTGCCCGACAGAGCAGCGCTGGGGTTCAGCGGGAGAGGGATGCTGTGGGGCGAGGGATGCTGGTGTGGGGTGAGGGATGCCGTGGGGCGAGGGATGCTGGTGTGGGGTGAGGGATGATGTGGGGAGAGGGATGCCGTGGGGCAAGGGATGTTGGTGTGGGGCAAGGGATGCTGTGGGGAGAGGGATGCTGCTGTGGGGAGAGGGATGCCATGGGGCAAGGGATGCTGGTGTGGGGTGAGGGATGCCAGGAGGGTGGCTCAGCTCCAGTCATAGATGGGGACAGGACAAAGGACCAGCCCGGAGCTGCCCCAGCTCCACATCCCCTCGCCCCACTCCCCACCACAACCCGGCTCTACCCACCAGTGATGGTTGCGGCATCGCAGCATCTGCCTGTGGATGTGGGGCTGGTGTGGGGCAGGGCAGTGACGGGGGAGTCCGGGCTGCGCTGGAGGTGGCCGGGGGGGGTCTCTGGTGGGACCACGGTGTCCAGTTTGGCTGCTGTTACGTGGGGGGGGCCATGGGAGAAGCTCTTTCCACCCTGGCTCACCGGAGCAGCACTGGGCAGCAGAGTCCCTCCTGCGGCCCCTGCCTGCGGACAAGGAGCCGTTAGGGTGATGCTCTGGGGACCAGGGACACATCCTGAACCCCGCGCTCCGGGTCCTGTCCCCAAGCACGCTGCCCGCTGGTTAAAGGCTCCCTATGGGCAGCATCTGCCCAGCCGGGGCTTGTGGGGACCTGGACAGCGCGGCCAGGGCCGCGGGTCCCCCCATGGGGACAAGGGGAGCAGGCAGCACCAGGACAGGCCCCACTGCTGCCGAACACGGCGCAGTTCCGGGATGGCGCCGGGTCATCGTACCTGCTCAGCTCCACTACGTGACACGGGGCACTCAGCACCAAAGCAAACACTTGGTGATGTCCGGATCAGCACCGGTGCCGGAGGGGGGAGAGGATGCTCCGAAGGGATGGGGCAGGAGCCTGCGCCCCTCCCCGGGCTCGCTGCCGGGTCCCTGCCCGTGGTAGCGGGCAGAGGAAGGAGCCGCGGAGGTGCTCGGAGCGGGCAGACGCATGGGAGCCTGCGGAGCCCCACCTCGGAGGGCAAAGTTCGGCTGCGAACCTGCTCCCCGCCCGCTGCAGGATGCGGAGCCGGGACCCGCCGCGCTGCCCCGGGCAGGGCTGGGCAGCACCCGCGCCCGGCCGGGCCATAAACGCATCACGGGACAGGCCATAAACCAGCACGTTCCTGCCCCCTCCAGCGCCCCGGCTCCGGCTGCAGCCGCTGCGGGCACCGCTGTGCCCGGCCCGGAGCCCCGTGCCCCATCTCCACCCCTGCTCCCCCCCCCCTCCAGCAGGGCCGTGCCAGGGCATCGCCGTTACCTCCGCAGCGCCCCCAAACCCTGCACAGCCGGGAGGCAGCACGGACACCCCCGAGCACGCCCATGGCCCCAGTCTCTGCCCCCCGGCACTGGAACCGTCAGACTCAGGTGGCTCAATCCGCCCGAGGAACAGATCCGCAGCCCCAAACCCGCAGCCCCCCCCATGGCCCCCAGCGCAGGAAGGGACCCACCGTGCTGCGGGGCTGCCGCTGCCCGCGCTGGCTCCGCGGATGGGGCCCGGTGTGGGTCAGCGCGGGGCCGGGGCTGCCAGAGCCCTGCGCCTGCTCTTGGCCCCGCTCCTGCACTCGTTGCACCCAGGGAGAGCCGGGTCCGGACCCGTCCGAGCAGCTCCCATCGCACCCGGCCCCTGCCCTTGGGCTGATGCGGGACCTGCCCCATGGGAGCAGGGCGGTGGTGCCGGGGCAGCAGCGGGAGCAGCAGGGCCCTGGTCAGGGGGCAGGCGCAGACCTGAGCCCGGTGCCCTCTGCCCGGTGCCATCGTGCGGCTCCTGCCCTGCCCGTGCAGCCGCGGGTGGCTTCATCCCATGGCTGGGATGTGGGCGCCGCTGCCACCCTGCCCTGGCCCCAGCGCAGGGGGTGTCCCCAGGGGGGCCCTTGTGGAGCCCTCCTGAGCTGGGAACGTCCCTTGAAGTCACAGACATGGCCAGGATGCGGCTCCCGCAGTGCTGGATCCCAGCCCTCAGCAATGGGTCTCTCCATGCACCCAAAGCCATAACCCTGCCCTGCTCATCCTGACGCTGCCCCACTTCCCAGCTGGAACGGGCTCAGTTCTGCTGTGATCCCCAAGCCCGGGTGCTCTGTGCCTGCCACAGCCCTCACTGGGGCTGCCCACACCGTGGGATGCTCCCTGTGCCCAAGGGCCGTGTCCTCAGCTCCCTTCCCCCCCTCCGCAGCCTCAGCCTCTTCCGCAGAGCAGGAAAACCCTCCCCGCTCCCACGCTGACTTCCTGGTTCAGGCACTGGGGAAGATGGAGCACGGCCGCATCCCAGCTCCTGCGGCCAAACCCCTCTGTAGCTGCGGCCAATCCATCCCTGGGGATCCCGGTCCAGCCGCAGGCCCCCAACCGCTCGCTCCGAGGAAAACCCCTTATAGGTGTCAGAGCCCCCAAGTGGGAGTGGGGCCATGGAAGTCTCAGCACCTTCCCCATGGAGAAGACCCCAGGGTTTGAGGGGCACATCCCTGCCCATGGCCCCGGGTGCTGCAGGACCCGGTCCCTCCTGGGGCAGGTGCTCAGTGTCCTGCTCCCCCTGCACAGGGGCCCGTTCCCGTTGTCACTGCTCCAGCTCCTGCTCTGGCAGCGCCTCCCTGGTCCCAGCCTTGTCTCGAAGCTGCCCTCCGGAAGCGCGCTCGGCTCTGCCCGGGAAGCAGCTGCCGTGCTCCTCATCCCTATGGCAGGGCCAGGGCAGGAAGCGCGGCCGCATCCCTCCTGCGCCGCGGGGCTGAGCTCAGCACAGGAGCCATGGGGCAGGGATGGAGCCGGCCCCGCTTCCCAAAGCGGCTCCTGCCAGGCCTGACCACGGCCAAGCACGGTCCTGCTGTGCCCTGTGCCGTACCCACCTCCCAGCACGATCCCTCCTGGCACAGGCGACGCTTCCCATTGCGCTCCTGGGCACGGCTGAGCCAAGAGCATTTCCTCTGCCATCTGCTGCCGTGCTGGGCAGGAGGCAGCCCGGGTTGATGGAGGCAATGCCAGCGTTCACCTGGCCCCATCCAGGCTCCGCTCCATCACTCAGAGCGGCTCAATCCTGACCAGCACCTCAGTAAAGAGGAGATGCTGCTGGTGCTGCCTAATTAACACGAGTCTTAATTACAGGGAGGTTGCAGCTCCTGACAGAGCAGAGGTGCCTGGTGACGGGCACGGGGCTGCGAGAGGTGACCTGTGCCTTGCTGAGCAGCATCCTCAGCCACCACCTGAGCCCTGGGCCAGGCAACGTGGGTGCAAAGGATGGAATGAGCTCCCACAAGGAGGGTGCTGGTGACCCGCAGCCCGGCCACCCCAATGGGGCTCGGGGACAGAAGAACAGGCTCAGGGCACCACGGGGCTGGGGGGTTATTTTATTCTTTGCTTTGGTCTATACAAAAACAACTTACAGAAATAATAAACTCTTCCATTCCTGCACCACGCTCCTGTAAGCGTCCATCCCCTTCCAGTGGAAGCGTTAAACCACCATCTAGAGCCTCTTTAGAACATGTGTTAGAGAAGGGAGCGGGCTGGGGGGGGACAGGAACACACCACTCACCAAAAAGAAGGGAAAGGGGTTAAAATGTGCAACAGAGATCAGTAACAAGGACACGGTTCCTAATGCGGGATCACTCCTATACGGGTCCTGGGGTGGGGGGGATAGGCAGGTACAGAGTCAGCTCCCCAACGGCTGATGGGAAAGAGACATCCCGATGGCTAAAAGGAAGGTCCTGGGACAGGGCACGCTTTGCTTTCAGCAAACGGGGTCGGCCTGATTTGGGTTTGGGTTCGCGGAGAACAAAGGGGTTTCCCATGTTAGATTCCATCCCTCGAACACCAACAGGGGGAACAAGCAGCGGGGTGTGGGGGGGGGTGTTGGAAAGCACAAACTTAAAGGTGGCAAAAGCCATTGGCACCATATTAAAAATACAAAAGAAATCTCTAGTCATAGAAAAAGGACTATTGTGGCAACGGAAGGTCGCAGACGGGGCAGGGCTTGTGGGCCTTAAAGCTTCAGAAACAGGATCTTGGATGCTGGATGCGGCAGGAGGTGCGTGAAGAAGTCCCAGGGGGAAAGGACCTCCTCCGCAGCCCCACAGCCAAGAAAAGACATCGAAAACCAAAGCCTCTGGTGGGAATGGAAAAGTTTTGTCTTCTCAGGCACTTCTGTCTCCCAAGTCCTTCTTGCAGATGCTCAGCCTGGGGCCACCCTCTTCTGTACGGAGAAAACACCTGCACGGGGCACGGAGAGCTCCTGTTACTGAGCTGAAACCTGGGGGCCACCAAAGCCCATGGGACAATGGGGACACCGACCCCATTGGCAGCGGGGACCCCACGGCCCTGCCATGCGCAGGGCAGCGGTACCTGGTGTGGGACACGTTAGGCCAGCATGTGGTCAGCAAAGGGCGCTCGGACGCCGTCGCTGTAGGCGTCCATGGGGTAGTCCCCGTCCATGTCCATGTGCATGTCGATGGGGTCCAGGGGGATGTCACCCGAGTACATGGGGCGATAGCCGGGGTCCAGCTCTGCGGGAAGGGATGGGGCAACCTCAGCTCCCATCAGTGAGCGGCTTCTCCAAGCCCAGACCCCCTCCTGGTCCCCCTGCCCGCAGCACCCACAATGGACCCAAGTGCCACCGACGGCCCCACGCGCCGGGGCCAGCATCCTGCTGAGCATCCCCAGCAGGCCAGGCTGGTGCTGCACCAGCAGCCACCCAAGAAAGGGTTTGGAACCAGCCTGGTTTGGTGAGAGGAGGCCAATGCCCCACCAGAGCACAGCCACGGGGAGCCCCGCAGGAAGAGCCGGCGCCGCACTCACCATCTGAGTAGGGCTCGTTGATGGGGATCATGCTCTGAGCCTACAAGAGAAGGGGACACAAGTGAAGGGGGATTCGTGTTCACGCGTGCCCAAGGCCCAGCCCCATCCCAGGGAGCACCCAGCGCTGCTGGCGAGCTCGGGATGGAGCCCATCCACCCCGCACACCCTCTTTCCAGTCGCTCCCATCCACGGCTGGCTGCTGGAGCCGGGACCGGTCCATCCGCAGGGACAAAACGGGCTCCCTGGAGGATGCTCACCGCCTCCCAGGCTGCGGGGTCGTGCTTGAAGAGGGAGTTGGTGAGCTCCACGGAGACGCGCTTCCTGTAGTCGGGGTTCTTGTCCTCGGAGATGCGGAAGAGCACGGCAGCGGCGTAGGTGGCTGCAGGGCAAGGGCAGCAGCCTCAGCACCCTAAAGCACCGCGAGCTGGGGTGATACCCGGCAGCACAGAGCCCCCCCCAACCCCGGCACTCACCCGTCCCCTCGTTCCTGGAGTGCAGCAGCTCCATGAGGGGAGCCGAGGCCCCCTCAGCATCGATGGCGTCTGCTGCCTCCTTGTCCTGCGCCAGCTCGCACAGCACCCCGGCCGCCACGCGCTGGATGTTCTCCACCGGCGAGTAGAGGAGCTGTCGGGGTTGGTGAAGAGCACCATGAGGGGAAGCAGGCAGCGGGGAGCTGCGGGCTCCTGACGGGCTCCCACAGCGGCAGCGCTGGCAGCGAGCACCGGGGTCCCTGGGTGGGTGGGAGGTAACAAAGAGCAGCCCCGTGCCCCCCAGCCCCTGACCTGCACGAAGAGAGGGATGGTGTTGAGGCGGAAGATCTCCATGCGGTTCATGGGGTCCCGGGCCAGGATGTGCAGTGCCCCTGTGCATCCCTCCACGATCTCCTCCATCTTCACTCCGTCCTGCCAGGGGACAAGTGCTCAGCCAGGGCCATGGAGCAGCCGGAGCAGAACCAGCGCCAGGGCACAAACCCCCCCTGAGCATGAGCCAACCCCCCCACCACCAGGGATGGGTTGGTTTTGGGGGGGGCAGAGGGGTCTCACCGTGTAGGGCTGCTGCGTGCCGGCGGCCACGTGCCGCTGGGCATCCTGGTGAGCCTTGACCAGCAGCTGGACCAGGCGTGGGATGACGGCGGCCTCCTGCAGCGGGGCATGGTTGGCCGGGCACAGGGCCAGGTTGCGGATCAGGCCTATGGTAGCCTGGAGGAGAGGAGAAAGGGGTGAGGCGGGGGGGGAAGAGAGATGGATCTCAACCGTGGATCAGGGCAACGTGTGCTTCCCATGGGAACCCCCCAGCACGGAGCTTCCTCCTTGCTCATCCCACCCCATCCTCCTGCATGACTTCAGCTTCCTCCCACCGGGGCGAGTATTGACCCGACCCAGCAGCCAGCACGAGCTCACTTCCTCCATTAGCTGCCATCAGGGATGCGGCTCACCGTGCCGCATGCAGCCACGCACAGCACCGGCCACAGAGCCCTCAGCACCGCATCCCGGCACGGAGCGGCAGCCGGCGGCCAGCTCCAGCCCCTCACCTTGACCAGTGGCCACTGGTTGGGCTGGTTGAGGAGCTTGACGATGGCGGGGATGCCGTAGTTGAGCCGCACCGAGTTCTGCGCCATCTCGGCCTCGGGGTGCCGGCTGGTGAGGTGCCGCAGCGCGCACACGGCCGGCTCGGTGATGTCCTCCTTGTCGCCCGCCCGCAGGATGGTGTGGATGAGGGCTTCCACCCCGTTCGACTGCGTCACCAGGGTCTTGTTCTTGCTGTTGTTGCAGGTCAGGTTGGAGAGGGTGCCGGTGGCGCAGGTCAGCACGTTCACGTCGTCGGAGCTCAGCTGGTTCACCAGGATCTTGAGGACCCCGTCCAGGCCCTCCTGCGGGAGCAGGGATGGGAGGTTGGAGCAGCCTCCGTGCTGCAGGCTCTTGTCCAGGCCTGGGGAGCCAGAGCTGCCCTGCAGCACGCCATGGACCGGAGCAGGCAGT